GTGTTGTAACTCAAAATGTTTTGTGTAAATCTGCAAATAGAGATGTAATTTTAGTAAAGAGCTGCCCTGAGTCACCCGCTGGGGGAGATGGGTGGGACACAAATTAATTAATTAATTAATTAATTAATTAAATAAATAAATAAATAAATAAATAAATAAATGCTGCTCATGAAATCCATTCAAAGTGAATTGAATGGAAAATGTTTATCTTCTCTACTTTTTTTTTTTTTCCTATATGTATCATGATTTATGGGTAAGAATTGATAACAAGACTTTTTTTTTTTTTCCTATATGTATCATGATTTATGGGTAAGAATTGATAACAAGACTTTTTTTTTTTTTCCTATATGTATCATGATTTATGGGTAAGAATTGATAACAAGACTTTTTTTTTTTTTCCTATAGGTATCATGATTCATGGGTAAGAATGGATAACAAGACATCTGTCTTTTTTCTTTTGCAATTTTCAAATGTTTGGGAGCTACAGATTATATACATAGCTTTACTACTAATGTTATATTTAATGACGGTAACAGGGAACCTTCTCATCATCTCTGCTGTTGTTTGTGACCACCACCTTCACACCCCCATGTACTTCTTCCTGATGAATCTAGCCATGCAAGACATTGGTTCAGTTTCAGTCATAATTCCCAAAGCTCTTTTTAATTCTCTTACAAATACAAGGCATATTTCTTACTCAGGGTGTGTTGCTCAAGTCCTCTTGTTTGTCTTCTTCCTGGGCTCTGATATTGCCCTGCTCACTGTCATGGCATATGACCGGTATGTTGCCATTTGCAATCCTTTGCAATATGAAACGATAATGAACAGGAAAGCCTGCACCCAAATGATTGGCAGTGTATGGACTGCCAGTTTTCTCAATGCTGCCTTGCACACTACTGAAACGTTTACTAATCCTTTCTGCTCTAATATTGTCAATCAATTTTATTGTGAAATCCCCCATTTACTTAAGCTTGCCTGCCCTGGTTTAGATGTAACTGAAATTGGAGTTGTAGCGTTCAGTGCTATATTATCCGCTGGTTGTTTTGTTTTTATAGTTGTTACTTATGTGGAGATCTTTTCTGCTGTTTTGAGAATTCCTTCTGTTCAAGGAAGGAAGAAGGCCTTCTTCACTTGCCTACCCCACCTCATTGTCTTCTCTGTATTTTTGTTTACTGTTTCCTTTGCTTATCTAAGACCCATTTCTAATAGACCATCAAACCTTGATTTCATAATTACGATGATTTATTCCATACTTCCACCCATGATGAATCCAATAATCTATAGTATGAGAAACAAGGACATCAAAGACGCTCTTTCAAAACTTCTTAGGCTGCGGTCATTTGTTTTTGAAAACCTGTGAACTGTGGAACTACTTCTTTATCTGTGTTAATGGGAAAGAAAAAAAAGAGACATGGGGATAAAACTAAGCTTTACATCTCTTAAGTTGAAATGATGATGATGACAAGAACAACAGTTTTAAAGAAGATGCAGATGATGAGGAGATGAAATCTGACTTTTTCCATGAAGATATTTAAAATAAACCTTTGTCTTTTATCTGATTTTTCAACTTTACAGGTAATCTAAAGACAATAATTTTAAAATGAAATTAGAACAAGAAATATTAGGCAAATATGTAAACGATGTATGTATATATTAGGAGAAAGCAGAGATTATATGTATTTGAAATTAGTGTAAAATGGTCTCTCTCACTCTCTTTCCTTCCCTCCCT